AAAAAAAAAAAAAAAGAGTTTCTGTAAAACATTTCTCAAAAGAAAATATATATTGACATTCTGTCTTTCTCCTCCAGATACTGTTTTTTGGATTTGGGTGGCTTTTCTTCATGCGCCAATTGTTTAAGGACTATGAGGTGAGAGGAAATATCATTTTGTTATACTATATGAATTTAGATTGTTTTAAATTGGGGCAAGAAAAATGCCTCCATTAAAGAAACATTATGTTCATTTCCAAGATAGGAAGCTTTTGCCAAATAAGTACTATATAACTATTAGATTGGAGAATATAATTAGGCTTAATTGATTTAAAAGGGGGGAAAAGGCAAGTCACATTTAGCTGAGAAGCTAGGAGCAAGGAATATCATGCCTTAGTCATATCAGAATGTGCACCAGTAGCAAATAGTTATTCTATAGGAGAGAATTTAATTCATAATGTTTCAAATGAAATTTGTCTATCTGGCCTTGAATTGCCAGTCTTACATTCTAAGTTAATACCAAAATCTTAAGGCTGGTCTTGTTCTTATCTTAAGCTTTGGATTCAGAAAATCACCACCCTAGCCTGGACATTTCCTAATTATAATAAGATCAGTGGTTATAGTATACCTTTGGGTGTTACATTATTTCTCGGATGTTATATTTCTCAGATGTCCTCCATTAAACTTTCCCAGGGAGTTGTCTGAAAGAGCCCGGGATTCTGCAGATTTTCTTCTGCCCAGTACTTTAAGGACTTCCAGGGAGGTTCCAGAACCGATCCAGGATCTGCAGAGTGTTGAAGAGCCCCTCTGAAGATTAACCCTTAGATACAAATCTGTCATTTTTTTGTCAGTGTGCATCAGGAATTCTAAATGCTAGTTCTGACCCTGTCACTTCATCTTCTTGTGCTCAAAACTCTCCATCCACAAGAGGATGCTGGTAATAGTGACTCAAGATTCAGAAGTGCCACCTACTTTGATCTTTTTCTTTAGCTCCAGGCAAATTGCTGTTGTGGCCCTCTTTCTGATGACTTGAGAATTTCCTCAAAATAAGCCTTCTGACATGGAACCAGAAGGAGGTTATCAGTTCAGTTTTTAAACAAAGAAATAACTTCTAGTCTCTATCTGGCTTTTAACAGGTACGTCAGTACGTTGTACAGGTGATCTTCTCCGTGACATTTGCATTTTCTTGCACCATGTTTGAGCTCATTATCTTTGAAATCTTAGGAGTATTGAATAGCAGGTGAGTAAGAGTACTGAATAACCCCTCTTGAAGGGTTCTGTGCTACATTATTTATGGTGGAAAAGCTACCTGGATCTCATAACTGAAAAAAAACCACCGTGAGGATAGTTTAGTCTCAGTAACTGCAATGATCACAGCAAGTATGGGTCGCAGCCACCTAATAACTGGTTTGACAAAGATTATGAGATACCAGGAAAAAAAGGTCTGACCATTAACTCTGAAGAACTCATTGGAGTGAGGCTGCGAAGCCTCAGTCCTAGGCTTCACTCCTAGAAGCTTTATTTTTCCCATACTGCTCATGACTGAATCCCAGTAACCCCTTCACATTGTTCTGCTGATTGAAAAGCTCTGCCTGAAAAGATCAGAATTCCTCAGAGCTGCTTAATGATCTCTCTGAAGGCTGAACTTCAAATCTTACTTACTTTTTTTAAGACACTTTTTAAAGGTAACTCTTTACTCCCCTTCAAATAACAGACCTGTTAGTTTATTAGACAAGTCTGTTCAAAATATCTCTTGCTTGTTCTGCAAGCTTGAATATTTTTTTAATCCAGCATTTATATGTAGGGTTCATCAGCTATGCTATGCAGACTTTTGTTATACTGTTTTATCACCACCTGGAAAAATATTTTAAGAATAAAGTAGTCTTTCCCTCTAAAGTTAGGACTCAGCACCAAGGTAAGTTTATTATAGACCCCTGACACTTGAGACTTGTAGAGAGACTGTACTCTCAAATCCATCTTTGATAAACAGAGTTGAAAACAAAATTTAAATTAAAAACTTACTATGCAGGTGGTTAATCACAAAACATTAAAACGTTAAAAAAAAAAGAGAGAGAGAGTAGCGGGGGCAAACACAGTGGCTCACGCCTATAATCCAAGCACTTTGGAAGGCTGAGGAAGGAGAATCACTTGAGCCCAGGAGTTTGAGGATCTTCATTGAGCTGTGATCACTGAACAAACTGACAGTGAGACCCCATCTATTAAAAGGGCCGGGGGGGAGGGGAATCAGTTGATAATAATGCTCTCTTGATAAAGTAATAAATAACATGTGTCATGGTGAAACAGAAATATGTTCTGATTCTTGTGCTTTTAAACTTGTTCTTTAATAATCCAAACTGTTTTTGGATAAGCTAGATAGAGATCCTTTGACTATAGAGAATAGACAAGTATTATTTTACATAATGGTTATTAAATTTTATTATCACAACCTGCATCTTTTACTACTGTTTAAGCAGAGCTTGGCAGACTTTTTTCTGTAAAGGGCCAGATAGTAAATATTTTAGGCTCTCTGGACCAGAAGGTTTCTATCACAGCTACTCAGCTCTGCTGTTGTAGAGCGAAAGCAGTCATAGGCAGTATATAAACAAATGAGCATGGCCGTGCTCCAATAAAACTTAATTTGTAAAAACAGGTGGCTGCCAGGCCATAGTTTGCCAACTACTTATCTAAATATTGATACAGAGGATTCAGATATTCTAAAGCTATAGTTACTGTTTTTGATAGATGATGTCCCCCAACTTTTAACTCATAGTTAATAACCCATATGGTAAGAAACATCAGTCACACTTTGGTGTATGCTTCTTAAGTTTCTTAAATAGTTAAAGAGCATAAGAAGTAACATTGCTGGGCCGGGCGCGGTGGCTCACGCATGTAATCCCAGCACTTTGGGAGGCCGAGGCGGGCGGATCACGAGGTCAAGAGATCGAGACCATTCTCGCCATGATGAAACCCTGTCTCTACTAAAAATATAAAAATTAGCCAGGTGTGGTGGCGCGCGCCTGTAGTCCCAGCTACTCGGGAGGCTGAGGCGGAAGAATCGCTTGAACCCAGGAGACGGAGGTTGCAGTGAGCCGAGATTGTGCCACTGAACTCCAGCCTGGTGACAGAGCAAGACTCCGTCTCAAAAAAAAAAAGAAGTAACATTGCTAAAATCTGGTTCTTTGTGTGCTTTATAGAGGATTGGGTGTGGGTGTGTTCAGTGTGAGACGTGTCTTCAGTTATACCTGTTTTTTCATGCTAATGTTTCACCCAATTATGGAACGGAAATGTGAGCCTTGATAATGTAGTATAACTGTGTATTGACTGGATTCAGAATCGTTTTGAAAAAAGAATCTTGGCCAAAATATTTCTTTGACTCACCTCTGAGCAGAGATTGTATGAATTCCTATTCAAATATGTAATCTTGTTGGAATCCTTAATTCTTTCAAGAGAATATCGCTTTACTCTCAGCTCAAAAGGGTAGTTAAAACATGTGGTTCACTTTTAATTGGCAGTCCATATGCCAATTAAAGTTGTACTTGTTATTTCACACCCACTGCCTCCCAAAGTCGTTCAGAAGCTGAGTTGAAATACTATGTAGGATTGCCTGGAGGATGTCCAGCTTGTTTCCTTCCCTAAATGCTCTAAAGTAGGTTAATCTAGAGGAGCAAAAAGCTGTCAGTATATCTAGTCTAAATGATATTTACTCCCTGTAGGGTAGCTTTTACTGAATGGCTCTTTGTTTTGTGATGCCATCCGTACTAAGGAAGGAACAGTAAGAAATAGCTCTCTGAGCCGGGCGCGGTGGCTCACACCTGTAATTCCAGCACTTTGGGAGGCCAAGGTGGGCGGATCACCTGAGGTGGGGAGTTCAAGGCCAGCCTGACCAACATGGTGAAGCCCTGTCTTTAAAAAAAAAAAAAGAAAAGAAAAAAAATAGCCTTTTAAAAAAAAAAAAAAAAAGAAAAGAAATAGCCTTCTGAAACTCATTCATATTTCCCTGGAAAGGATGTTGTTGATGCCACTGTTAATTGCCTTTGCATTTTCTTTTTATGAACTCTTTGAAGAAATTTTATTGTAATCTTGGTAATAATTCAGTAACAATAAATTGATAATAATTCTTCCTTTGAGCAATTAATTTATTTTCTTACAGACACTATGATTTTATCTAACTGATCAAAGTTTTTATTTCACATTGACCATTATAAAACTTAAAGCTCAGTTTATGAACTACCCATAGCAAGTTTCTAGAATTCTGTTTTATATTAGCCATCAGGTTTGGCCAAATATTTTACCTATCTGTTACCATTGTTGTTTCTTTCTTTCATGTTTTGTTATAGTTCATTTCATCGTCCTGTATTTTATTTGTCTTTATAAGCCATTTAACCACTTTTGCCTTTTTTGAAACAAGGCCTAAATAAGTTTAAAATCAGTAAATACAAAGGACACCATCAAGAAAGTGAACAAATATTTTAAGAACAAGAGAAAATTTTTACAAATTACCTATCTGATAATGGACTGGGACTCTTATCTAGAATATATAAAGAATCCTTACAGTTCAATAATATGATACAATTAAAAAATGACTAAAAAATCTGAATAGGCATTTCTCCAAAGATGATATACAAATGGCGAGTAAGCACATATGAATAGATGCCCAGTACCATTAGCCATCAAGGAAATGGAAATCAAAACCACAGTGAGATACCACTTTACACCCACTAAGATGGCTATAACCAAAGAAACAGACAATAGCAAGTGTTGGCAAGGCTGAGGAGAAACTGGAACTCTCATACACTGGTGAGGAAAATGTAAAATGATGCGGCCACACTGGGAAACAGTAGGCATACCTCAAAAGATTAAATATAGATTTATCACATGACCCAACAATTCCACTGCATTTCTACCTAAAGAGAAAGGAAAACATACATCCACACCAAAATGTATACACACACATTCATAGCATCTCTATTTATAATAGCTAAAAACAACCCAAATGTCTTCAACTAATAAATACATAAGCAAAATATAATATAGCCAAAAGTAATGGAATGAATATTTTTCAACCATCAAAGGAATTATTGGTAGATACTACAACACAGATGAACCTTGTAAACATTATGGTAAGTAAAAAAAGCCAGTCACAAAAGATCACATATTGGTGGCTTCCTAGAAACAGAAAGTATTTTGGTGGTTTCCTAGAGCCGAGGAGGTTGGAGAGAAACAGGGAGTGACTCCTAATGGCTACAGGGTTTCTTTATGGAGTAATGAAAATGTGCTAAAATTGATTCAGGTGATGGTTTCACAACTCCGAGTATACAAAATCCATTGTATGTGGAAACTTTAAATGGGTAAATTGTATCTCATTAAAACTGTTATTTAAAAAGTGCTAAAAGTTTTAATAAAATACATCTTATAAAATGTAATAAAAGTAATTCATGCAAATCAGGTGTTTATATCAAGAGTACAAAATAAATAAATTCGAGTCTTAATAGCGTATATTATTGTTAGCATTTATTTTCCTTAAATTCTTACATTGGACACTAAGTTCGGCATCAATATGGTGACCTCCGGGGATCGGGGGACCACCAGGTTGCCTAAGGCAGGGTGAACTGGCCCAGGTTGGAAACAGAGCAGGTCAAAACTCCCATGCTGATCAGTAGTGGGATCGCGCCTCAGAAACAGAGCAGGTCAAACTCCCATACTGATCATTAGTGGAAAAAGCCACTGCACTCCAGCCTGGGCAACAGAGCGAGACCCCGTCTCTAAAAAAAAAAAAAAAAAAAAAAAAAAAAAAAAAAAAAAAAAAAAAAAAGAAAAAAAAACAAAAAATTCTTACGTTGGAATAAGATTCCTAGTGGTAAGTAAAACAATTGTCCTTCTACCAGCAATGGCGTATGTTGATATATGTTAATGGTGTATGTTGCCTATGAATATATCAAAAACATAAACATTTTAATATATGAAATCCTGGGTTAAGATGGTCATATATACCTTTCAAAAATTTGTATTTTTTAATCTCTACAAATGAGTAGATTATAAGAGCCTGGTAGGTTTATTAGATAGGATATGTTCAGTATTGAGTTCAAAGAGCGAAAGACCCTTTGGAATACTAAAGAGAAAGAAAATTGCTGCCCCCTGTCCCTCCCAGTGACAGTCTTTGACATTTATTTCAGCTCTCGTTATTTTCACTGGAAAATGAACCTGTGTGTAATTCTGCTGATCCTGGTTTTCATGGTGCCTTTTTACATTGGCTATTTTATTGTGAGCAACATCCAGCTACGTAAGTATTTTACCCTCTCAGTCAGCACATAGACTGAGATGAGTATTTGAGGGAACTGAGATTGTGGATCGTTTCATTTCTACATTAACTTTCAGTAGTTACTGCTATTTGAGGACACCTCACACACAGCATCTTAAAAATAAATATAAAGTAAATATTGAATGAATGGCACAAAGTAAATATTGAATGAATGGTTAGGTTATTTTTTCTGCCACAGCTTTTTCTACTTAATAATGTCTCCTTTAATTCATCCCACATGTTAAATTCAGCTAAATTTTTCTTACAGTAGTAAGGATGCTTTCACTAAAAATTATACTGTTCACCACTCATTTGCCAAGTGAATTAGCAGCCAAATATTAATTAGCATTATCTTATATTTTTAAATAGAGCAAGCTGTTTAACCTATATCTGTTTTTCCTAACAGTTTTGTCTCCTCTGTCTCAGTGCATAAACAACGACTGCTTTTCTCCTGTCTCTTATGGCTGACCTTTATGTATTTCTTCTGGAAACTAGGAGATCCCTTTCCCATTCTCAGCCCAAAACATGGTGAGTATATATGAGAGGGCAGAGATGGGGGGGAAGAAGGTTCGTTTAATTTTCTAATGTGAAAAAATTTAATTTCTTGGGGGAAAAATAATAAACTCACAGGTTCTTGGGATCTGGAAAAAAAATTTCTGATTTTGAGGAGGATAGCAAGTTATTTCTCTGAAAAATGTCTGATTTTTGAATCACATTTTCTTCTTCATTCTAAGAGATAATGCTGGTTTTGGAACTCACTTCTGTTATTCTAGAGTAGAAATTTTTGACCTTCGTTTACTGAATATACTTCAAGGGTAAAAGGAAAAAGAACAGTGTCTTAACTCGTAGTGTATATGGAACTACAGCAATATATTTGTATGTGTATTTGGAGGTCAGGTATCAGTAAACCTTTGTCAGATTTCCAAAGAAATCTGTGACCCAAAAGGTAAATGGCCACTGCTTAAATGATGATGAAGATTGTCTTTAGGGAAGCGTATGTATTTGGGGAAAGGTGACATAAATGCTCACAATTAGTAGATAAAGAAAAGCTTTCCAAGAATCAGTGTCTCCCTTCTAACAAAAAAAGTTCATTTTAAAACAAGAAATTGGGCAGAGCCCTAATTTTTAAGCTAAAAACAGTGAACAAAAGTACCTCAGCTAACGAGTCCTTCCAGAACTATTTCAGAAGCATGTGTGAATCTATCTAAAAATATTAGAGAGCCCATCTGTAATAAATATACTAAAGCTTTCATACTGGAACTTTTTTTTTTTTAATATACATCTCTTTATTCACCATCCTGCTGTAGCTATTATCAGGGTTCTTATTGCAGAAAATAGAATCTACTGTAACTAATTTAAAGCAGAAAATGATTAATTATACAGTATCAGGCAATTTATAGACTTTCTAGGAAAGCAGGTATACAAAGCTTAAATGCTCTATAGTAAAGAGAAATACCCAACTATGCCACAGCACAAACTGGAAAACCTCACTGAAGTCATCACTTGCCACTCAGGGTCTGTGACATCAGGGACCTCTGTCCCAGCTGTCGGAGTTCCTAAGTGCCATCACCACCCCTGCATTGTTCACTGCTGCATTTGAGGCCTCCTGTAGGCCTGGTTTTTAGGTGAAACCTAGGTAACGTTTAGAACCCTATCCTCAGGGAAGTCTGAGAAAGAACTTTTGGCTTTCTAGACTCTGCAGTACCAAAAGAAATGCTGGAATAGGATTGGAATTAATGTTGAATGAGCCAGTGTCTTTTAGAGAATCTGCCGTCCCTCCCACACACCCCTCCCGTTACATTCATGCCTCTAACAGGAATGTCGGGAGAGAAAGGTTGTGAGACTCTCCAGCAGTGGGGTCAGAGCAGTTTTGAAAAGCATATGCAGTACCATAAATAGTTATGTCTTTTTAAATAAGAATAACTGTTTCAAAAATTTCAAATAATGTTAAAGGCCAGAAAACTTAACACCACCCTACCAAAAACATTCAGACTCTTAGGTTTGAAATTCTTTCACGACCTTTCGTGACCTGGTTACTGCTCTCTATACGTGTTCCGTCTCCAGTTCTGCAAAATCGTTTCAAGTTTCTCGTTTTTTCTTTTTCTTTTTGGGACAAGGTCTCACTGTCACCCAGGCTGGAGTGCAGTGGCACGATCTCAGCTAACTGCAACCTCCAAAACTGTCTCCCAGGCTCAAGTGATCTTCTCACCTCGCCTCCTAAGTAACTGGGAACACAGGCGCATGCTACCACACCTGGCTAATTTTGTATTTTTTCATAGAGATGGGGTTTCTCCATGTTGCTCAGGATGGTCTCGAACTCCTGAGCTCAAGGGATCGACCCACCTCGGCCTCCCAAAGCGCTGGGATTACAAGTGTGAACCACCATACCCAGCCTCAGTTTCTAGAGCTGTTCTATCAGCCTGGACAATCCTTCACCCCCAGTCTACCTAGAAAATGCCTACTTATTCTTTCTAGGTTCAACTCTTGTCAATTCCTCTAAGGAGATTTTCCTGGCCATCATTAGGAGATATTAATTGCTCCCACCTCAGGGTATTTATATCATCTATAAAACTCATAATTTAATGTTTTCTTTTCCAACTTCCTCATCAACCAATGAGCTCCCTGAGTTCAGAAAACTACATGTTACTTGTCTTTGTATCCCTAGTGCCCAGTGTGGAACCTAACACATTACAGGTATTTAATACATGTTCTTTGAATCAGTGAATGGAAAAAATTGAGTCTCTCCAAAGTGATAGATGAGTTTAATAATTTAACACTCCGGATAGGAATTTAGGAAATGCTAATGTGATCAGCATGCCTATGCCAATGGTCGAAAAAGACTTGGACTAAAGAGCCCTGCTAGTGTAGTTCTCATATAAACCTATTTCAAATAAACCCACAGACAGACAAATTTATTTGTGATGGTAGAAGTCAGAGAGAAGAGTTACAAAAGGCCCCTAGGGCTGCTGACAGGGCAAACACAGGGTCACATGCAGTACAAAGACCTGACTCTGACACCTTTCTCCAGCTTTCTCCTGTGTGCATTCAGCTCACATGACCAGTGCGGCCAGGCCATGCCAGAGGGAAGATGAAGGCCATAGTATCTATTGTCCTTTCATCAACCCCTTTTTCTAAATTCTGTGGGATTATCCTGAAAAGGACACTGAGGGAGAAAGCTAGGAAGATAGTTTCAGTTTTATTCTTTCCATTGTACTCCAATAGTCATTACAGTTTTAGGCCTGAATATTCAGGTATCTTAATTTAACCCTCTAAGAGAAGTAAGGAGTTAGAAAAGTTTAGCTGATAGCTGAGAAGCAGCCAACCTTACACTACCTTCTCAGAGCTTTCCCAGGACTGTCCCAACAACCAGTGTGGTTGTTTATTGCTCTGGAGACCGCAAAAAAATGGGCTGGGCACACTGGCTCACATCTGTAATCCCAGCACTTTGGGAGGCCGAGACAGGGAGATCACCTGAGGCCAGGAGTTAGAGACCAGCCTGGGTAACATGGCAAAACCCCATCTCTACTAAAAATACTAAAATTAGCCAGGTATGGTGGCACATGCCTGCAATCCCAGCTACTCAGGAGGCAGAGACACAAGAATTGCTTGAACCCAGGAGGCTGAGGTTGCAGTGAGATGAGATCATGCCACTGCCCTCCAGCCCCCCCCAGACAGAGCAAGACTCTGTCTCAGAAAAAAAAAAAAAAAAAAACGGGCGTGGTGGCTCGAGCCTGTAATCCCAGCACTCTGGGAGGCCGAGGCAGGCGGATCACAAGGTCAGGAGATCAAGACCATGGTGAAACCCCATCTCTACTAAAAAATACAAAAATTAGCTGGGCGTGGTGGCGTGCGCCTGTGGTCCTAGCTACTCAGGAGGCTGAGGTGGGAGAATTGCTTGAACCCGGGAAATGGAGGTTGCAGTGAGCCGAGATCGTGCCACTGCACTCCAGCCTGGCACCTGGCAACAGAGCAAGGCTCTGTCTCAAAAGAAAAAAACAATTCTTACTTATAATTTAAAAAATCTATAAAAGTACTTCTCGTGCAGTCCCTGTCCCTTGGAATGTCCTTAGTAGGAAAGAGTAAGAGAGATTACAAAAGACTGTAAGGAATGGAATCTGTGTGAGCAGATGTCAAAGGTGAGATGGTGTTCTGCTAGTCTCCTTATTCATCTGACTTTCCATGTATTAACTGGTAAATGAAGATAATGATGACTGACTCTTACTTCATAGAGATGCTGAGATTAAGTAAATAGTATATGCAAAGTACTTTAAACCAGAAAAAGATGAAAGGACAAAGACACCACCACATTAAAAGGAATAAAGGTAGAGGGGGAATCTTTTTCAGTTTTTCGTATATAATAACTCATATTAGTCCCTTGGATTTTTCTAAGTTACTGAGTGATACTATAGTCAACAAACATTTGTTGAACACCTTCTGTGTGCCAGGCAATAAGGAAAATAAAGATCAATAAGACATGATTTCTTCTTGTAAAAGTGTTGCAAATTCAAGAGATATGTGGAAAGTAGAATCAAGAGAATTTAGGTGAGGATTTATTCGTTCATTTAGCATTACACAAATATTTATTGAGCATCTACTTTATATTAAGCACTGGAAACAAATCACAAACAAAACAAACTTGGTTTCTGCCCTTCTGAAATTTACAGTCTTGTGGGTGGAACTAGACAAAAAAGAGGTAAATAAAAAAAGAGTTGCCAGCTGTGATCGTTGTCATCAAAGAGCAAACAGGTTGCTGTGATAGAGAAAAATGCAGATAAATTAGTGCAAGGAGTTAGATCGATCCTTTCTGACACAGTGATATTTAAGCTGAGATTTAAAGGACAAGACCAAAGGAAGACCCAGTAAGAAGGCACAAAAGACATCACGTAGGCCAGGCGTGGTGGCTCACGTCTGTAATCCCAGCACTTTGGGAGGCCGAGGCAGGTGGATCATGAGGTCAAGAGATCGAGACCATCCTGGCCAACCCCATCTCTACTAAAAATACAAAAAATTAGTTGGGTGTGGTGGTGCAGGCCTGTGGTCCTAGCTACTAGAGAGGCTGAGTCAGGAGAATTGCTTGAACCCAGGAGGCGGAGTTTGCAGTGAGCTGAGATCGTGTCACTGCACTCCAGCCTGGCTCCTGGCAACAGAGTGAGACTCTGTCTCAAAAAAAAAAAGACATCACGTAAAGCCCTGAGGTAGAAAGACCTTGGTGTATTCAAGGAAAGGTAAGAGATAGAGTGGGGAGTAATTGTACAGTGTATAGATTTTATTGTTATGGTGACTCAATAGTTGATTATGTCATTTTCTTTTTTTTTTTTTTTTGAGACGGAGTTTTGCTCTTGTTACCCAGGCTGGAGTGCAATGGCGCGATCTCGGCTCACTGCAACCTCCGCCTCCTGGGTTCAGGCAATTCTCCTGCCTCAGCCTCCTGAATAGCTGGGATTACAGGTACGCGCCACCATGCCCAGCTAATTTTTTGTAGTTTTAGTAGAGACGGGGTTTCACCATGTTGACCAGGATGGTCTCGATCTCTTGACCTCGTGATCCACCCGCCTCGGCCTCCCAAAGTGCTGGGATTACAGGCTTAAGCCACCGCGCCCGGCCCGATTATGTCATTTTCTAAGACAGGTGAGGGGAAAGATAATTTTAGCTTGGTATATTCTGAATTTAAGTTACCTATGCATATCCAGGTGATGTTAAATAAGCAATTGGAGGTACAAATCAGGAGCTTAGGGAAAAAGTATAAATGTATCAGTCCTCATAGAGATGACTCTAGGAAGCTAAACAACTAAATATCATCAACTAAATGCCATTAGTAAAGCTGAGGAAATTAGTGAGATTACCCAAGCAAAAAATGTGTATACTGAAATGAAAGAGATCTCTGGTCCATACAGAGCAAGAAGTGACTGAGAAAAAGCAATTAGAGAAGTAAAAGGGAAAACCTAGGGAAATGGTGTTGTGGAAGCCAAGAAGATAAAATAATTTTAAACAAAATGATCCAATGTCATACAAATGCCAGTTAAACAAGACTTGGAAAATGGTGAATTTTGCAACCGGGAGAAAACTTATTACCATAGTGTAGTAGTGGTTAAAGCCCAGACTCTGGATCTGGACTGCACTTGAATTCTGTTGCTACCCCTTTTAGCTGTGTGACCTGGACTAAGTTACTTAACCTCTCTGTGCCTCCACTTCTTCATTTGTAAAATTAGGTTTTCAATAATGTCTACCTCAGAGGATTGTTATGAGTGTTAAATGAGTTAGTACATGTGATATGCTTAGAACAATGCCTAGTCATAACAGGCGCTTGATGAATATTACCTATTATATTGCTATTATGATTATTAATGAAAGTAATTTCATTCAATATAGAAGAGTGGAAAGAAAGCTGGATTGCAGTGAGTTAAGGAATGAACTGGAGGTGAGGAAAAGGGGACAATAACTATAAACTTTTAAGAAGCCTGGCTATTGAGGAGGAAATATAGACAGGGCTTGGGAACTAGAGGTAAACTCAAAGCCAAGAACAGAATTCCTCTTAGAAAAGAGACTTGAAGCTAAAGAGAAAAAACTAGCAAAGAAGGAAATATTGAATATACAAGAGAGAAGAGGTAGATGACGGAACAAGCCTCTGAAAGAAGTGGAAAGGATTAAATACAATCAAAAGTATGGTGACTTCTAGTTCCAAGATGGTGGTGTAGAGGCACGCTGGCTTCACTTAGCCCCATGACCGAAAATCAAAAACAAATAGCACCAAGATCATCACCAGCAGTATCCCAGAACTCACATGTAAGGATGAGACAGTTCTCAGGGCCCAGATAAGATCAAAAGCACAAGTGGAGAAGTCAGCTTTGCATGCTACTTTGTTCTGAGGGAGACAGGTTGGTAGGATAATTACAGATGTATATTCAGTGTCATAAAAGAGCCAGTGAAACAAGGATTGGAAAATGCTGCATTTTGCAACCAGTAGGAAATTCCTGACCATAGTTTAGAGTGAAGGTAGTTTGTAGTGGAGTGAAGGTAATCTATATCTAATAGCTTATGTTTTTTATAGTAAGGGCATTGGCAAAGGAGAAGGACAGAGGTAGGAAAAAATAAAGAGTAACTGCTGAGGAAAATGGAAAGAGATGGCTTACCAAAGGCAAGATAAGGATGAGTCAGCAGTGTGAGAGCTCCCTTAGGACTGGAGAGCATAAATCTGTAATGGCTCCAAAATCAGCATGAATTCCAGCAATTTTCGGCAGCAAGACATGGGCACAGGGAAGGCAGAGTGTTAGACTGATCCAGAGTTGGGAGTTTGTAGGATTAGCGCTTCAGAAGGAAGATAGCAGGAGATTGAGGGTCCTGGTGAGAGAATTTGAAGCCAGCAAGCCTGGAGTCCAAGCTAGGTGAAGAATGGGGAAGCAGAAGACCACAGGTCGCACTGACCTCTAGAATGAGTGTAGCACAGATAAAGGAGAAAGGGAACTTGAACGCTGGGAAGGGAGGCAGTAGTCAGAAAAGGAATATTGGAATTTTCAGTTTTGAAGCTGACAGAATTCCTGAATTATAACTCTGGCATTTGACCATAGGAGTGAATGGCTGAAGTGAATTCTATTCTACAAGTAGGAAGTGAAAACCAATTAAAACTATTTTTTTCCTGCAATGCCAAACTTCCTGAGTTATTCTTCAGCATTGCTTTCCTTCATTTATCCCAAATACATCAACCAGCAGTATTTATTTTAACTGCTAAGTTGATTTTCAGCATTCTCAAGTGATATGAAACAATTAATAATTAAGATATGATTTATAATCTACAGCTGATGTGTTTGCCTTTGAATTTCTCATTCATCTATAAGGTTGGCTCATTTATTAGATGAATTCTGTGTTTATTGGATGCAAAAAAGACAAAAGCAAAAGAGTATGACCTTAGGGGAAATACATATATATCAAAGATAACTAGCACAAAGTATTTCCAGAAGATTTACTTTCCTCATTTTTTTGCTGATGCTTTTACCGAAAGTACTTTGCTTTGTTAGCATTCGTGTTACCAAGAGTAAACAGTCGCTGGGCGCGGTGGCTCACACCTGTAATCCCAGCACTTTGGGAGGCCAAGGCGGGTGGATCACGAGGTCAAGAGATCGAGACCATCCTGGTCAACATAGTGAAACCCCGTCTCTACTAAAAATATAAAAAAAATCAGCTGGGCATGGTGACGCATGCCTGTAATCCCAGCTATTCAGGAGGCTGAGGCAGGAAAATTACCTGAACCCAGGAGGCGAGATCGCGCCATTGCGCTCCAGCCTGGGCAACAAGAGCGAAACTCTGTCTCAAAAAAAAAAAAAAAAAAAGAGTAAATAGTCAATGACCGTTATTTATAATTATTGTTGTTATTGTTATTACTTTACTGTCATCACCCAATAAAAGAGATCACTATGAAGCATATGGGACAAGAGGAAAATCAGTAAACTTTTAGTATATTTGTTATAGATAATCTACACATTGGCCAGGTGTAGTGGCTCACGCCTGTAATCCCAGCACTTTGGGAGGCCAAGGCGGGTGGATCACGAGGTCAGGAGTTCAAGACCAGCTTGACCAACATCATGAAACCCCATCTCTACTAAAAATACAAAAAAATTAGCTGGGCGTGGTAGCATGCGCCTGTAGTCCTAGCTACTCGGGAAGCCGAGGCAGGAGAATCGCTTGAACCCAGGAGGCAGAGGTTACAGTGAGCCAAGATCGCGCCACCACACTCCAGCCTGGGTGACAGTGCGAGACTCTGTCAAAAAAAAAAAAAAAAGATAATCTACACATTAATAATTAAAAGTTGGCGTGTATGAGTTAGTTATGTGTACTGGTTGATGTTTTCAGTGATGCTTCCTTTTACAGCACAGATGAGAGCCATTTTATCTATATTACCTGGCATTAATGTACCCTGATGTTTTTAGGGATTTTATCCATAGAACAGCTCATCAGCCGGGTTGGTGTGATTGGAGTGACTCTCATGGCTCTTCTTTCTGGATTTGGTGCTGTCAACTGCCCATACACTTACATGTCTTACTTCCTCAGGTAACAGAGCGCTTTGCAGCTTTTCTTTTTTGCCCCATTACTTCTTCAATACATATGTCATATTATGCTACCGTCTTTAAGATTATATATTAGATCTATGACCCGGTCTTTTTATTCTTCTCTTCCTCTGTCCCTATGGGCATTGACCTGGAAGTCTTTGTAAATAAGTCTTATCACTTGTGTTGTTTTCCTTTATTATTTGTGCTACATTCATTTATTCTTTAAATGGAAAATTTCAATCTGACGCTCCCCTCCCGCTTTTTAAAGGCACATTTCTAGTGACCAGCAGTATAAACTAACCCCAACTTCAGCAGTTCAATTCCTCCTAGAAGTTTTAATAGAACAGTAGAAGACAATGCCAACTTAAAATTGTGCTTAAACATACATCCTAAATGTCACTGAGCCAAGATCATGCCACTCCACTCCAGCCTGGGTGACAGAGCAAGACTCTTTCGTAGAAAAATATGATGCGTTGGGCTGGACATGGTGGCTCATGCCTGTAATCCCAGCACTTTGGGAGGCCAAGGTGGGCAGATCACCTGAGGTCAGGAGTTGGAGACCAGCCTGACCAACATGGAGAAACCCCATCACTACTAAAAAGACAAAATTAGCCAGGCGTGGTGGCACATGCCTATATTCCCAGCTACTCAGGAGGCTGAGGCAGGAGAATCCCTTGAACCCGGGAGGTGGAGGTTGCAGTGAGCCAAGGTTGTGCCATTGCACTCCAGCCTGGGCAGCAAGAGAGAAACTCCGTCTCAAAACAAAAACAAAAATGATAAATATGATGGGTTGATGGGTGTGGCAAACCACCATGGCACATGTATACCTGTGTAACAAACCTGCACGTTCTGCACATGTATCCCAGAATTTAAAGTATAATTTTAAAAAAAGATATTTTTTAAAAAATTGTGTGTGTGTGTGTGTGTGTGTGTGTGTGTGTGTGTGTGTGTATAAATGTCACTGAATCAAAACTAAGAAAAACTGTAAGACAGCTGGGTAAATTCCATTTCCCTGAGATCCCAGAGGATTAGCTATAAGAAATGAGAGCAAAAGCATTTTAGTTTATTATGGTCATTTTATTATTTTCTAGAAAAAAGTAGTGGGTAACAGTTGAAGTTTATGTGTCTCTCCAGATAACCTGTATCGTGCCCAAGAGTGGGACCCCAAAACATTTTACTAACAGCTTGTGCTTCTTGTAGGAATGTGACTGACACAGATATTCTAGCCCTGGAACGGCGACTGCTCCAAACCATGGATATGATCATAAGCAAAAAGAAAAGGTAAGACGTCAGTACTGTCAAACATGTGGACTCTGTTACAATCGCTCAACAAGAAAATTTGACTATGAATTGGTGCTGGCAGGGCATTTTATCCTATTCATTTTTATTATAAGGGGGAGTACTATCAAAGATATAGTGTTGGCTGGACACCGTGGCTCACACCTGTGATCCCAGCCCTTTGGGAGGCCAAGGCAGGAGGATCACTTTAGCCCAGAAGTTCAAAACTAGCCTGGATACTATAGCAAGACCCCATTTCTTTAAAATAATAAAGGGCTGGGCGCGGTGGCTCACGCCTATAATCCTAGCACTTTGGGAGGCTGAGGTGGGTGGATCACCTGAGGTCAGGAGCTCAAGACCAGCCTGGCCATCATGGTGAAACCCTATCTTAAAAAATAAATAAATAAAATAACAATAATAATTTTTTAAAAATTAAAAATATAAAAAATTGTTTAAAAATTTAGTGTTTCATGTAAAAGAAAATTCCCAATTCAATCTCATTTCTTGAATTTAGATCATTCTCCTTAGATAAATTATTAGAATAACTTTTTTGTTTAATTTTTTTAATTATAAATTGACAGATTATAATTGTGTATATTTATGGCATACAAAGTGGAATAATTAAATCAAGCTAATTAACGCATCCATCTTACATGCTTTTATATTTTTTGTGGTGAACATTTGAAATTTGCTCTCAGTAATTTTGAAATATACAATACATTATTATATTCATCATGCTGTACAGTATGTCACAGAGAAAAAAAAGTACTCCTTATGTCTAATTGAAGCTTTGTACCCTTTGACCATCTTCTCTCCATTCCTCCCACCTACGCAGCTTCTGATAACTATCATTCTACTCTCTGCTTCTGTTGAATTCATTGTTTTAGATTCCATATGTAAGTAAGAACATGCAGTATTTGACTTTCTGTGTCCAACTCATTTTGCTTAGCATAGTGTTCTCCAGTTACATTCATGGTGTCACAAATGAATTTCCTTCCTTAAGGCTTTGTAGTATCCATTGTGAATATATGCCATGTCTTCTTTATCCATTTTTCTGTTGATGGACATATAAATTGGTACCATAATGTGGCTATCCTAAATACTACTGCAGTGAACATGGGAGTGCAGGTATCTCTTTGACATACTGATTTCAGATCTTTTGGGTAAATACTCAGAAGTGGGATTGCTGGATCATATAATAATTCCCTTTTCAGTTTTTTTTAGGAACCTCCACACCGTTTTCCATAGTGGTTGTGCTAATTTTCATTCCCAACAACAGTTTAATAGGGTTCCCGTTTCTCTGCATTCAAATCAGCATTCTTTATCTTTTGCCCCTTTGATAACAGCCATTCTGACAGGTATGAGGGGATATCTCATCGTGGTTTTAGTTTGCAATTCCTTAATGGTTAGTATATTGGACATTATTTTATATATCTGTTGGCCAAGTGTATGCCTTCTTTTGAGAAATATCTATTCAGGTTCCTTGCCCATTTAAAAATCAAATCATTTGTTTTCTTTCTATAAAGTTATTTAAGGTCCTTATGTATTTTATATACTAACCGCTTATAAGACATGGCTTGCAGATATTTTCCCCCAGTCCATAAGTTGTCTCTTTACTCTGTCAGTTGTTTTCTTTGTTGTGCAGAAGCTTTTTATTTTGATGTAATCCTGTTTGGTTTTTCCCCTGTTTTCTTCTAATAGTTTTATAGCTTCCAATCTTAAGTCTTTTGAGTTAATTTTTTTTTTTTTTTTTTTTTTTTTTTTTTTTTTTTTTNTTTTTTTGAGACAGAGTCTCATTCTGTTGCCCAGGCTGGGTGCAGTGGAGCAATCTTGGCTCAGTGCAACCTCCGACTCCCTGATTCAAGCAATTCTCCTGCGTCAGCCTCCCGAGTAGCTGGGATTACAGGCACATGCCACCACACCCAGCTAAATTTTGTGTATGTTCAGTAGAGATGGCGTTTTACCCTGTTGGCCAGATAGGTCTCAAACTCCTGACCTCAGGTGATCCACTGGCCTTGGCCTCCCAAAGTGCTGGGATTACAGGCATGAGCCACCACACCCAGCCGAGTTAATTTTTATTATGTTGAGTGAGATAAGGGTCCAGTTTCATTCTTCTGCAGATGGATATTCAGTTTTCCTAACACCATTTATTCAAAAGACTGTCCTTTTCCTAGTGTGTACATGTGGCACCCCTGTCAAAAATCAATTGACCATACACGTGTGAATTTATTTCTGGGCTCTCTGTTCTCTTCCCTTGGTCATGATTCTGTGCTTATGCTCATATCATGCTGTTTTAATTACTATTGCTTTGTAGTATAATTTAAAATAAGATAGTATGATGCCTCCAACTTTGTTCTTTAGTTCATGATTGCCTTGGCAATTCCAGTTTTTTGTGGTTCCATATGAATTTTATGATTACTTTTTCTATTTCTATGAAAAATAACATTGGAATTTTGATAGGGATTGCATTAAATCTATAGATTGCTTTAGGTAGTATGGACTTTTAACAATACTAATGTTCAGTGAACATTCCAAAAATGAAATTAAGAGAACCATCTTACTTAAAATAGCTACAAGAAAAAAAATACTTAGGAGTAAATTTAACCAAGGAGGAAGAAAGACCTGGACACTGAAAACTATACAATATTAATGGAAGAAATTGAAGCAGACACAAATAAATGGAAAGATATCCCATGTTCATGGACTGGTGGATAACTTTTATATTCCAAGAATGGAGTATTGTCTATTGTCCAGAATTTTTAAAAAGTCTATTGTCCTGGCTGGGCTCAGTGACTCATGCCTGTAATCCCACCACTTTGGGAGGCTGAGGCAGGCAGATCGCCTGAGGTTGGGAGTTCAAGACCAGCCTGACCAAACATGAAGAAACTCCGTCTCTACTAAAAATACAAAATTAGCCTGGCGTGGTGGCACATGCCTGTAATCTCAGCCACTCGAGAGGCTGAGGCAGAATGGCTTGAATCCAGGAGGTGGAGGTTGCAGTGAGCCGAGATTGCACCACTGAACTCCAGCCTGGGCAACAAGAGCAAAACTCCATCTCAAAAAAAATAAAAATAAAAAAGTCTATTGTCCTGAATTTTTACAGTCTTTTACATATCTGATTTAGAACTCAACTTAAGTACTTTTAAAATGTATATTTTCAAGTGGCATTTCATAGAAATCTATATCACGGTGGATAAAAGCATGGGCTTTGAAATCAGACTGTGTCTGAATTTGAATCCTTGATCTACATCTTAATGATGTGACCTTGAACTAGTTACTCTATGTTTTTCTGCCTCGTTTGTAAAAATAGAGGTAATAATAATGAGTTAAGACTTAGAACGATGAGTTAGACCCCTTCGAACAATGACCCACATGTAGCTAAGGACAACTACTGAACTTGTTAATAATCTCTACAGTATAATCATTTGCTTCTCATGCTTTGCCTTCATTTATTCATTTATAGATTCATTCACTTAATAATTTATAGAAAACCTAGTTCATGCTAGGCACTGTACTAGATACTAGGGATAGAGTGATGAACAAGTTAATCATTTCTTACCTTCATGAAGCTTATTAGTCTACTCTCTTTATTGTAGTTATTATTATCCAATATAAATGGAAACAGGTTTTGAATTGCATGAGTATTTTCACATTTCATATTTCCTTCTTCAACATTTTTCTATAGTAAGACCCATAGTCAAGTCAAAGAAGCCTTAATGTAAGAGATAACATTAGAAATTAGAATGATAAAGAAGGCTCAGGTTCGCCAACTAATTATTTGTCTCTATCTCTGCATGTCTTTACTAGGATATTGAAGGTAGACACGTGGTATAATTTATTTTATTTACATTTGTTATTTTACATGAATGTATATAAATGCATATTTTTTAAAATGTAACAATCAGAGCAAGATTATTCAAAAGTGAAAGATTTATATGTGAACAATATCATTTTGATTCCCAAGGCTATTCTCCTTCTCGCTGTATTTCTTTTATCTACATAAAGAGATGCATATGTAAAAGTGAAGTCGTGGCCAGGTACTCATGCCTGTAATTCCAACACTTTGAGAAGCTGAGGTCAGGAGTTTGAGACCAGCCTGGCCAACATGGCAAAACCTAATCTCTACTAAAAGTGCAAAAATTAGCCTGACACAGTGGTACATGCCTGTAATCCTAGCTACTTTGGAGGCTGAGGCAGGAAAACCACTTGCACCAGGGAGGCATAGGTTGCAGTGAGCCAAGCTTGCACCAGTACACTCCAGCCTGGGGGACAGAACGAGACTCTGTCTCAAAAACAAAAAACAGAAGTTATAACCCATGTCAAGTGTGGATATATACTTTAAGCCATTTCATACCAGTAGTGCTTAGGAATTGACTCTGATCTATATACAGTATATCCCATTTCCCCTGTAATGCATTGGCTGGTCAGATTCAGGAATGGTTTGTGGTCCAGCAGTAGGTTTTATTAATTTGAGTGGCTGACAGAAGAGTCAGCCTCCCAACATGACCCCATTAGCACAGTCCTTTGCCCAGTGGAACTAACAGAGCACATAGACAGCTAACATGACAACACAGGGGCCCTTGGGATTCATACAGTGCCCTTGCCATTTACCACAATATGGAAAAACTGTTTTTGTTGTTTGCAAGTGGTTTTATACAATAAAAATTTTTTTAATAAAAAAGAAAAACAGTTTTTGCAAACACTCATGGTTGGGAAGAAGTAGTGACCAGAAAACCATCTTTCACCTTAACAGTAGAGGGCCACAGTGAGATGACATACAAAAAAAGTAACATTTTTTATGTACAAAAAAGTTAATGGTTGAAAATGGGAGGAGGAAAGAGGCATACATCTTCCTATTTGGAACAGTGGAGGAAAAAAATGTTAACCTCTACTTTGAATTCATTTTTTTAGGATCTGTTTGAAATTTTGTAGGGATGGGGGAAGAAATGTATTCACTAGTGAAACTTCAACACCAGCCACAGCCACTCTCAAATGATAATAGA